ATATATTACCATTATTTTAATGACATTTATCAATGTTATGATGTTTTTAAAAAAACTGCTGAAAAATTCTCAGATCTCGGAATTAAAAATTTTCTATAGAAACTGATCTTAAAATCGCCAAAATGTTGATACGTTGCCAAATTTAGAACCGTTAAATAAAAGAATTTACATCACCAAAAGCAAAAAGTTGTTTACGAGCTCTTCATTAGAAAAAATGAATTTCGAAATGCTTATGTTTCACTTCTTGCTTAGAAACTTGAGTATCCCATCATTTATATTAGAAATAGAAACAAATCATAACCCATGAACCCATTCAAAAGATAACCATATATGTCAGTGAATCGCCAAAAAATTCCTCCAAAATGCTAATTCACACTCAAAAGGGCAGTTGTAAAAACAGAGAAAAATTTCAGATGATTAAAATTAAGGACCTTCTACAGGGTTGCCACTCAAACAGGAGAATGAAATTCCCTGACTTTTTCAGGTTTTCCAGGTATGTTTCGAGAAAATTCCAGTCTATCCGCGTAATGTATGTTGGCTGTGCTAAGAGGTAAATTAATTATGGTATTATTTGTACTGTGTAGCAAATTCACTTAATTATTCAATAAATCCCAGAGGACATTTATTCTTTATTATTCTTGGTACACTTTGTTTGATAATTTTGTTTACTTTTCCACTTAAGAAACTTAATAAAATTTAAGATATATACATTGGATAACAATTGTATGTTTTATTTAATTATTACTCATGATCATCACCAGTTCAACGTGAGGCTAATCCGGTTCTTATAAATCACAACGCAATGCTAAAAGTTAGGTTAGATTTTAGGTAAATTTAATTTGTGTGAGGTGTCTTCTTAAAAGGCACCTTAACACTTGAAAACACAAATATAGTTATAATAGGAGTTGTTTTCTCCACTGAAGATTGAGATTAGAATCTCCCCAATCTGGAATAAAATAAGGCTTTTTTTTGCAGACATTCTGCAGCTAAATGAAAGAAAGAAATCTATTTAATGATATTTTTTTTTTTTACTAAATTGAGGTATTTTATATTTATTTTGCAGCATACATAAGGAAAAAATATGTGCATTAAATTTCGTGATGTCATCATACTGCTAGAATTAATTTCAGGATTATGCCAGAGAAAATTTCGTGAAATTTGGAAATATTATTTACTAATGATAAATAAAATTAGAGGAAAGAAGCAACATTAAATGATATGAATAACATAAAAATAAAGATAATTACTTAAAAATTGAATTAGAATAATCAACGATATTTTAGCGAATATAGTTATATTACATGGTTAGCCTTGATGACTGATTACTATTTTTTTATTTTACTGCAAAATGACAAGATATTTATTTAAAAAAAAAAAAAAAAAAAAAAAAAGATTTTGCGGTAAAATTCTAGTATACGGTATGGTCTTCGCACGATTTTGAAAATTGTCGCCAAGAACAAAATGACTCGTTTACTGCTCATCATGTCGCCAAATCCTGCTGTACCATACATGGAGATTATTCTAACCAAAGAACGTCTATGTAAAGAAGAAAAGGTTCCATACATGTAAATGCTATTACGCGGCTAGAAAGTGGAGGGAAAATTTGCCAAGGGATTTGGCGACGGAACCTGGCGGCCAGAATTTCCCTCTCCACGATGTGTACAATTGAGAAAAACGTGTTAAGAAAAAACGTTCTTTGACAAAAAAGAAAACTACAAAAATCCGTTTTTAAATTATTGCGAAAAATCCAAGAAACGTTTTATCAAAGAAAGTTTTTTTCTTGGATTTTTCGCAATAATTTTAAAAACAGATTTTCGTAGGTTCCCCCCCCTCAAAATAACTAATCCATGAATTAAATTACTAGCGCCAAAAAATATTTTCTTTTCCTTTAGAGTTTAAAGAAATTTTCTTAATTTTACACTTGTATGTATATAAGCATATTTATGCCTGGTCTTTGCAAGGAAGATAAAATAAATGTTTGTAGAAACAATGGCTAGAGCTTTTAGACCAGTGCTGGCGATTTTTAAAAAGGTGTTTCATTTTTAATATTACAAAAATACATTGCTCATCAGTATAAGAAAATAAATAACTTTAAATCATTTTATTCTAACCTTTTAACATTTTGCATATTATTTTGTTTCTACAGAGAGCTAAACTATGCAACTGTAAAATCTGTAATTCTATTTCTTCCATACACTGTTGACTGGAACCAGTATAAAATTAGCACTTATGAAATTTTGTAATAAAATATAGGTAGCACATGTCAATAACATATTTTCCTAATTTGTTTCAAAAAGTAATATACTTTTTTTTAAGGTGTTGCTTTTTCAGAGAGAAGGATACTATTTTATGTTTCAAAAAGAAATACAAAAATAAACAGAACACTTAAAACAAAGTCTCTTTTAACTAAGTTTTTTTCAACAGAAAATTTTGTTTTGCCAGTAGGCAGTAGCAGGTATTATTATTACCTACGAAGACAAGCAAAATATTTGTGTAATTTTTCTAATTTTTAGAGGTAAACTGTTCTTTTAAGTTTTAGACTGAAATCTTCAGATTGCGTTTTAATGCTCTTTTAAAACTTCATTTATTTTATATACTTTTAAAGTACATTGTTTATTACCCCCCCAAAAAAAGACTCCATTAATAGTAGGCTTGTTACACATATAAAATATAACTTTATGTTTGCAACAACAATATCACAAATAACAAAAAGCACTATTTGACATGAAATGTTTTCATATTTACAATTTCAGGGCATAAATAGCAACATTCACCTTTGCCAACCAAAATGTCAACTTTTGAAGCTCCTAATTAATTTTTTTGCCATAAAATTTAACACTTGAATACTCTCTCATTCTCATTTACCATCCAGTTTTGTATTTCACTAATAATATTAAGTTAGTGAATCAGAACTAACTACCGTATATACCCGCATATAAGTCGACCCCCCCACTTCGACATAAAAAAATTCGTAGAAAATAAGAAACCCGCGTATAAGTCGATCCCCCACTTCCGAAATTGATGGAAAAACTTCGAAATTTTTTTTTAAAGTACTACATTTATTCAAAATCATCTGAGAAAAAAAAGTAGATATATGATAAAAAATACCTTGGTAAATAAACAAAATCAAAATCCTTCAACGTCCGATTCATGGTCAGATTCGCCAAACATTTTATAGAACTCGTCTGTCGTCATTGGCTCGTCATCATACATATTTTCAGTCTCAAACTCTGTATTGTAACCTTCTAGAATTTCTTCGGAAAAGATTCGCGTACGTAAAATATATTTGCATTTTCCCTTTTTAAAAGTTAAAAAAAATATTCAAAACCGTTCAGTTATTGCGTGGGCTATTTTTTAAAATTTTCACGTGTACGCCTGTTAACAAAAGTATTTCATGAATGAAGAGTAACTATTATAAAGACTTAATGTACGTAAAAACTATCTGCATTTCTCTTTTCTTGGCGTGTTGGCAAAACTTTTTTATTGCTCGATATTGATTGGTTGTTTGGGGGCCGAAAATTCTTTGGTTTAATCGAAACTTACTCTAGTTAAAGTATGAAACTCTGTGATTAGTTTGTCACATAATTTAAGTCATGAAATTACTTCAAGTAAGTGACTTATTTGATAAGTCGTCCAATTTGAGTGTGGGAAGAAAACAACTGCATTATATAAAGAAATTTTTGAACTTCCGATTCTTTTCATTTTTTATGGCCCCACGTATAAGTCGACCCCCCCCCACTTTGAAGTCTTTTTTTTTTTTTTTTTTTTGTCCAAAATATCTCGACTTATACATGGGTATATACGGTATATAGTCAGTATCCACTTCATTCTCTTTATCTATATAGAAGAGGAAGATGAGTGACCTGAATTTAAATAAATTCAGTGAAGTGTCTTAAAATGCATATGCAAAACTTACAAAGCTGAGAAATACCAGGACTGATCTTTCAGTCTACTTCTAAGAGTTTAGGGATTATGTTGAAAATGATAGGAATGAATTTATAAATCATATGGGAAAGATAAGATGATATCTCATGATATCTATATATCATATAGGAATTTTCATAAAGAATTCAAAATATAAATACAGAAAAAGATCCAAAATTCACACAGCTTGAACTTGGGGTTGTGCAAATTTTAGTTTCATGGATTTCAGGTAAAAAAAAAAGTCAGACTAGCCAAAAGAATAATAATTTTTTTAAAGTTATTTAAAAAAAAATAAGTATGGATATATTTTCTTTTTAACCTCTTCATTATTATGCAATTGTCAAATCATAAAACACATCTTAGTTCCTTCATAAAAGTGTTGTATGGAAAAGATATCTGGTTTAGACAATGTCAAATCACACAGATGGCATAGTTTGCAGTGTAGGTATTCTTGTGCGCATTTTAGCATTTGCCTCATTAATGGAATATTGCCAAAATACTAATTATGTAACATTAATCTATAAAAACAGCAAAGGCTTAGTTTTCAGTTATGGAACAAGTTTAGCAACCTTTGACAATAATTTTAATGATTATCAACAGAATATAATAGTTTGCAACAGAATATAATAACTATGAAAATTTGTTGCAAATAATGTCAAAATATTGCCGAAACCATCTGCATTTCACTGTCGACATGTGATAGATTACACCGATTGCGGGCATTGGCAGGTTTTCAGTCTTCCATTATATTACTTTAAAAATATTGACACTAAGAATGATTCTTCAAGAACAAGTTTTTTGGTCTTCTACTATAGAGAAAAACTAATTTAAATGCTTTAACTTTAGTTTAAGTTTTCGGTTAAAAATTATTTTAATACGTTTTTGTTTTACTCTACTTTAAAAAAGCTTTTCATGTTTAAAAAAATAATATTTTTTTTTTCCTATGTAGAAGACCAAAAACTTTTTTTTAACTCTAGAAATCTGTACAATTCTTGAAAAACAAAAGAATTCTAAGACTTTAGTATCAGGCTGCAAGTCATCTCCCTCAAATTTGTCTATAAAAGTCAGTGTCTAAAAAATTTCTTATGTATATTTATTCTTTAATAAATATAAAATGTGATTTATTCAGAATACACACAGAAGTTCTAGTTCTAATCGCTTTCTTTGATAATCAATACTTCTTAAACGCACAGATACTTTTTCACCAACTTGTAGTTGTTGTCCTTTCATTTTGCTAACATGAATTAAACCATTACTACCAACTCCAACATCTACAAAAGCTCCATACATAGTCACATTTCTTACAAACCCTGTAAGTTCTTCATTCACTCTCAAATCAGTGAACTGGCGAGATTTTGACTGTTCTTTTTTTAAATTATTGAAATTATTGGGCTCTGTTTTAACTTTAGACTCTGTGCAAAATTCTAGCTCTATGCGTTTTTTCTTAAAGTCTACACTTTTTACAACCACTGATACAATATCCCCAATATTCAGCTCTTTGCCTCTCATTCTACTAATGTGAATAAGTCCATTTGGACCCACTCCAATGTCTATAAAAGCTCCATATGGAGCAATGTTTTTGACCACTCCCGTAAGTTCTTGGTTAATTTTCAAATCGGTGAATGGCATTGGTTTTAATTGTTCATTCTTTACATTAGTACTTGACTGTTGGTTAAATTTCAAGTTGGTGCCCAAATTTAATTGCAATTGCTTTTTATCGAAGTCAACATTTTGCACAAACACAGTTATAGTGTCACCAATATTTAAATTCTGTCCTGCCATCTTACTGATATGAAGTAAGCCATCCTTACCGACTCCGACATCCACAAAAGCTCCAAAGGCTGTGATATTCGTTACACATCCTGTAAGTTCTTGATTAACTTTCAAATCTGCAAAAAGGCGTGGTTGTATCTGTGCTTTTTTTGAACTGGGACATTGAGGTTCTTGTTTGACATCAGAGTCAGTACAAAGTTCCAAGTCTAATCGCTTTTTGTCAATGTCTACACTTTTTACCAGCACAGACACCTTGTCGCCAACACTTAGCTTCTGGCCTTTCATCTTGCTGACGTGGATTAGTCCATCCGCACCTACACCAACATCTACAAAGGCCCCAAATGCAGTAACATTTCTGACACATCCTGTAAGTTTTTGATGAACTTTTAAATCAGAAAATGTTCGTACTGATGTCAAGAAGAGGGGCTGTTCAAATTCTATACAGAGAAAAGAAAATTATGCAATGTTTTAGTTTTAGCCACTGCAGTTTGAAAATAATAAAAGCACTTTATTCTTTGCATACAAATAAAAACTTCCTTACATGTATGTGTTTTGAAGTAATTTAATAAATCAAAAAATAATTTAAAGCATATATTCAGTTACTAAACAGGAAAGAATAACTCACCAACTAAAAAACTAAGAAAATAAATGTTAATTGGCTTTTATTTTAACCAAAATGTTTTAAAAGACTGAACAATACTGCCTCCTTCAACAATATTTAAAATAGATATATATATTATTGAACTTTAAAGAACTTTCTAATAGCTAATCATGATGCCCTTTGTAGTAAAAGGAAATCAAATAAAACTGGTGCCCTCTAAGGTTAGAAAATGGAATCAGATCAAGAGTTGGTTTAATTACAGATGCATGGGGAAGAAAATTAGTATTTCAGCCATTGAGTATGATATGCAGAATTTTATGGACATGGAAAGTCACCTCCAGAATATAATTCATCACCTAAGGAAGTTTTGGGATGATGTTAGTAGAGGCAAAATTTAATTTATGGTCTATAGGCTTATAAGTTGGCAATAGAAGAGTTATTCCTTTAATTTTTTTTTTACACATAAGAACTACATTAGTCAGGCTTGAATTCTAACCTATTTTTTCCATCATCTATAAAAAGATCAGTCCCAATTCCCTTTTTAATCTCCAGATGGCAACACTTGCTTTATTTTTTATATTATTTTCTTTTTTTCACTTTATTAGAGAGGATATCATGGTTGATTACTATCATGCTTTCAAAAATTCTTCAGTCTGTCTTCCTATTTTATTATTCCAGATATTTGTTTTCCATTTAGTTGCAGCTGGAAAAAGTGACAGCAATGAACTGCTGAAAGCAATTCTGCTAAAATAAAATCTATGCTAATTACCATTGGTTTTCTGACACAGAGTCAGTTACTCGGTAACTAAAAAGACTAAACCTTTCAGATAACAGTTAAATCTCCAAAAACTGAATCCGAATAAACTACTGATGAGGATGCTTTATTCACAAGATCTCTGGATAAATGAGTTAACCAAGAATATGAGGGGGGGGGAAAAAAAAGAGTATTTTTTATTACTTATTGTTAGTTACTAGGGTTTCAGAAAAAATTTCACACATTGGATGATTATTGTGTGCATGAAAACTAGGTTCAAAGCGAATGCTGCATCTAGTTTGAATTTATGGCAAATCATTAGCTGGCAGCCAACCAAATTTTCTTAATAGTAATTTGTTGAAAAAATATATATAATAGAACATACAAAATGAATTTAGAATCTTTTCCATTAAGAATTATTAATTAGAGTAAGAATTTATTTACAGCTTGTAAATTTTTATAGTACTACTATTACTTTTGTGTATGTTTACCTCTAGTCATCTTTCTAGGCACTATGATGGTTCACAGTTATGTAGACGATATTTTAACGCTGGTTGCACTGCCTATACGATCAAGGCCCCAGGTGCCATTTATCAACAAGACAATTCTTGTCCACATACTGTGCAAATCTCCCAGCAATGTTTTCAAGGATATGACGTATTCCCGTTGTCTGCCAGGTCACCTGACCTCTCGCCAAGACAGCGTGTTTGGGATATGCTTGGAGAGCAATTGCAGCTGTCCTGGAATATTAGTGAATTAACTGCCTAGTTGCAAAGATTATGGCATGATCTTCTGCAATGGGTTGTAGATGACCTACTTGATTGGATGCCATGTGCATGTGTGTTAACTCCTCTAAAAGAAGCCTTAAAGCAAGTTCCTCCCCCCCATAGTGAGAAAAAGAATTATAAACAATTTTTTTTTGGGGGGGGCACGTACATATTAATTTTTCTAATGAAACCTTAAAGCAGTTCTTCTGCATAAGAGAAAAATAAATTAAAAACAATAAAGATTAACTTTTATTCTTTATGAGTTTTTAATTCTTAGAAAATGACAAATTATTTGCTTTAGAATTGAGATTTTATGTTTTGCTCTTGATGTTTGACTAATTATTCTAGCCTTTCATTTTCTCATTTTTTGAACCACATCATTCTTTCCAGGGAAAAAAAAAAAAAAAGAAAAGAAAGGAAAAAAAAAATAATGTAAAATTTTAAAAATATATTTATTAATTATATTTAATTTTTATTACGAAACTATATTTCAATGAATAGTACTTTTTTTAATCATTTCTGTAACAAATAATTATTTGAATCATTACTTCGTAACTGAAATCATTCAGTTGTATTATTCCACTAATAAAAATATGTTATTCATTTAACATTATTTTCAGGTTCATGTTATTAAGAACTGTTTTTTTCCCCTTTTCATTTTTAATAAAATGTTATTTTATATTTAATAAAATTCAAAATTTAGTCACAGTAATCAAAAGCTACTTTTGTACTTACCTCCTCTTATGTCATAATCATGCAGCTGCTTCAATGCATCGATGATCAGTTGCATGAGAGGAACTGAGACTGAAAATTGGGTTGCCACATTTTCTATACCTATAAAATTAAAAAATATTTTACAGGTAAATAAATGACTCTTAAAGTTATTTTATAATTTCTGAAATGTTATGTGTAACCAAACTACAGACAGAATGTAATAATATAATTCATGTTTTTAATTCTTTCATAATGGGTGAGATGATGATGATAATAATGAAGCAAGGAATGGTAGCCCAACAAAGATCTGCTTCTTTTTACAGTTTGCGGTTAATTATCCTCAGCCAAGATGTTCAACGAAATAATATAACCAATATGGAAAGAGTAAAACAAATGTACAGATTATAACCATGCAGTTTAAGAAGAGTAGATTTCTTGCATTTCAGCAATAATTAAACCCTTAACCATCACATATGGTTCAAATACAGTTGGTTATTCTAAACCAATTTTGATATACCATACGTTTAACAGGCTCTGCACTTGAAGAAAATGAAATATGTGTTTCATGCAGCTTTTTTCATTTCCTTTTTATTGCATATTTTGGTGAAATTATAAGCAAGGTTTTATAGGGAAAAAATATCATTTTTAGTATTGAAAAATTTATATGTGATTCTGACATGAGTACTTTTTTCAGTAAGTAATTGTTGAATAGAGTTTCTGCAGTTTTAGAGACACAGATATAAGGATTGACCTTATATGTAAGACTATTATAGAAGAAGAATAAAGAATGAATAGAATGGTGTTTTATCTTTGTCACTGTACAGATGTATGCTAAACCATGTGAATGTGATAAGCTGGAAGAACTTCCCACAAAGATACAATTAGTAAATTTAGCCAGCCATAGTCAATCGCACTTCTGTTCTTTTTCTGTTGCATTGGTAAATCTGATACGTACTTTTTCTCTTGACTCAATCACCAAGTATGCACGGCTGTGCAGTTCATATAATTTTGAAAATATATTCACCTCTCATTTTGTTAAAAAAATTCCAGTCCATTCCTGCCTTCAAACTGTGCATTTGGCTTCCATGCTATTTGAGCAGTATAAATTATTTATATTATGGAAGTAGTTTTTATAGTATAAATGCATGCACTGAAGCTTTCTTACTTAAATTATTAAAAAAAAATATGCTGCTTATAATATCGGTTCAGAATTTTGTGAATAATAAAAAAGAATTTTATGAAAATTATGTCAAAATTAAGGGATTAAAAACAGTTCTTCCCAAAAATGCAAAAACAAGATAGCGACATCCATAACAATGACATACAAAATGGGAACCAGATACTGCCTGTCCAGAAAGTTTCAAGATAGGTGCAATTACTGGATAAGCATTAGAGTTAACTACAAATCGGTTTCTTAATTGATACAGTTAATTACAGCTCTTCCTCTGATCTTGAAAGTTCTGTGAGAGTCTACCAGGTGGCAGAACAGTTGTAGCAGTTCTGTATTCTTGGTAATGATACAACATGGAAATGAAAAATCGAGCAGTATGTGAACAAATTGTGTATGAAGTTAGGATAGACTGATAAAGAAACCTGGAATTTTATCCACTAGGTGTATGTTAAGTAGTTGTTAGTAGGGGCACAACTATTTGAGTGACATATAAATTTTGTAAATGACAAAGAGTCAGTGCAGAATGAACTCTAGGTGACTACACATCGCACTTTGTGACCAGGAATTTACAGCAAAACAAAGTTATAGTTCTTCCATAACTCCATCGATATGCCCCCAAATCGTATATTAATCTTGCTACTTTTGGAAGGGCAATAAAAGAGATATGACATGGAGATATTGCAATTGTTCAGGCAGCCATGGCAGCTAAGGTATGCAGAATCCTAAAAGAAGCTTTCTCTGACATGATGCTAGAAAATGCAAAAGCAGTGGCAGATGGAATCAGTTGCAGAGGATACCTAAGTACCTGGAAGATACTCAGGACAAATAACGGTGAACACAATATTTTGTAATTAACAGTCTTGAAACTTTTCAGACAAAGGCTGCATTATAAATGCAGATGAGATTTAGGTGGAAAGCAAATCAATCATCCTAAAAGCAGCAATAACCTTTGTGCTTGAATTATTTTAATGTGTTCATTGAATTTGGAAGTGTAGCATTTTTAAAATTTTCTGATGGATAATACAGGCTACTAATTTATATGAAATCAGACTTCAAGGTTTATGCAAAGTTCATTTATATTTTTTGATTAGTTGATTCTTCAATTGGTTGGGAGACATTCACCCTTCAGCCTGTACTACAGAAAGAAGTATTACTGAAAGATTATTATAGATTATTGAAAAGAATTAAGAGCCCCCAAAAAAGGCTTAATGTCTCTTCACATGAAGTTACTATCATAAAGTAGTTGATTCCTCAAGGACTATTTTCTTTTCTCTAAAATAAAATCTCATCTCAAAGGAAATACAAGTATACTGATTTTGTAGAGTCATTAGGTTATATCGATGTAGGATCTTGAAAAATATGCAATGTCCTTGCAGGGATTTAAACTCCAGACACCTCCTGAATATGTGTCAAGTGTGCTTCCAGTTACACCACAGAGGCATATAGAAAGGAGGAAGAAAATGCCTTATAACATTTCAAAAAACTAAAATGACTTCAAAAACAGATTTCAAAAATGGTAAATAGTTTTAGACTTTTGCAAAAATTTAAAAACTTCTGTATGACAGATAAAATACATATAATGTATTTTACAATTCAAACTGTAATCTTCAATATCAGTGAGACTGCTGTTTTTAAAGAAAACTAACAAATGTCTAAGACTAAAAAAACTAAAAGACTTAAAAACTAAAAAACAACAGTAGAGAATTTGCCACATTTAATAAAATTCCTTAACAATGTGAAGGTTACTGCACACTAATTTCCCACCTAAATAGGAAATTTTAATTTATTTACATACAATATTACATGTATGAATTAACATCTGAATTCATAAAATGCTATTTTAAATTAAAGAAATGAATATATTAGTAAACTAAATGCCATTTATTATAAAAATCTAATATAAAACAGAAATACTTACATTTAAATTTCATGTACTGTGACACCTTGTCCACCAATAACTGCTGTCCTATTTCCTGAGGGCTACCTTTTATTTCTTCTAAAAACCTGTAAGAAATGGCAGTGAGTACTTACTGAAATAACTAACTGATGTAAAAATTATGTGCCGCAAAAACCTGCCCCCCCACATAAGGCATGCATGTTTGCAAATATATAGTGTCCATGTGGCATGGGGGCACTCTAAATATGCAGCGAGCCGATAGTCCTCTTGATAGGTTGGTGGTAGGGAAAGAGGGGTAGAAGACCCTCGACCGCCCGGGTGCTCTCCATCAAAATTGGGAGCAGAATTGAGCTAAATCGCACTGTCACCTGTAAGGTACTCAATGCTGTTGCCAACAACAGGCATAAACTTGCACTACTTTCCCTCCAAACTCTAAAGTTACATATACATTTAGCCAAAACTCTAAAGTTACATATATATTTAGCCAAAACTCTAAAGTTACATATGCATTTATTTAAATTTTGATTTTTTTCGTGGACAGGTCACACAAGTGAGCATTAGCAACAAAAAAAAAAAAAAAAAAAAAAATTCCGCAACATTACAACCAATGATGTTTTTCATGAGTTCTTACTTTGTAATAATTCTTAAATTATTAATAATTTACACCTGTAAAATGTTTCCAATTCTTTGGAAAACTCTTTTCAAAACTATGCACTATTTATCAGTTATGGAACAGAAGTTGTATTTTAAAATGACACCAAAAGTTTAAATTATATTTAGCCTATTCAGTAAATATCTGCACTGATTTCATTTTTAGACAGCTAAAAGTGATAAACTCAGATAACATCTATACCATTGTGCAAAACTTATCTGAAATGAAAGAGATACGACATCCTGACTTCATATTCATATTACACATGGGGAACATCAAGAAAATTCTCATACAGCCAACCTATTTGTCAGAAATTCAATGGATCAAACTATCAGTGCTCAGCAGTCTTCTTCACTTGACACTGATGGGTTACAAAAGTTATTAAATAAGCATGCACTTAGAGCATATGAAATCATTTTCAAACATACTTGCAAAATAAAACATAATAAATGATATAATATTTTGAAAACAATTTCATAATAAATTCAACACTTTTTACACATTCAAAATATTGGCATTCCTCAAGAAGTTTACTAAAGAAAGAGATTTTTTGGGGGAAGGGAAAAAAAAAAAAAAAACTAGTGGTAATAGCATGGTATGGCTTTTGCATAAAACTCATAATTAAAATCAAAACAATATTTAAAAAATACTACTAATACAATTTTGCCATACTTTTTTAATCGATTGTAATATGATGAGCTTTTTCAATTTAAAATATATCATAAAAAGATTATTAAATATTTACTTTTCAGCTATGTTGTATGATTCTGGATGAATAATTGTCTGATCCAATAGATTTGGAGCAAAGACAGCAGACTTTTTTGCTTTTTTCCCTTTAGGTTTTTCTTCTTCAGCATCAGGAACTTGAGTGCTAAAAAAATTTTATTAATTACATTTTTATGTCATTTTAATGCACAAATATTAAACATAATAAATAAGTTAACTTTTATTCATTTGGAAGTTAAAAACTATAATTAATTATCATTGTAAAAAACAGCCTTGCTTGGAGATGATACCAGGGGTTCTCAACCTATTTTGCTCCATGCATCCATTTCACCATTTCTAGACTATAATTCCCCTTTCCTCCCGTTCCAAAACTCTAGTTACATATACATTTATTGAAATTAAAATTTTTTAAAATAAAAATACAGAAAATGTTAATAAACACCAAAATGTGAAATAAATCAGTTTTTGTAGTCATAAAATAAAACTAAATACTTAGCAGATAAATAAAAGGCTGACTGCATTCCTCGCTGAAACTATGAAATTCCTACCTGGTTGAGAACCTCTGGTCTATATACTACAATGAAATAAACTATGTCTAGAAACAGACTATTTGCAGTATAGTTTAGTATACAAACAGACTATTTGCAGTATTAAAACAAACTCCAATTTGTTTGCCTCTGAAATTCATCTATTTATATACTTTAATGAAAAACTGAGAGAAAGCTGAAACGAATTAACTAAAATTTAAAGAAAAAGTAAAGGTATATGTCTAGAATAACTGAACTAAAACTGATTAAAAATGAAGCAAAATTCACAAAATTACCGGTAAATATTTGATTAACCAAATTTTTGCATTAGATGAGGCAAATCTTTAAGTATTAACAGATTTTTGTGTGTATCTTATTGCTTGGAAAATACACAAAAATATATAGCAAATAGAATTTTCAAACATAAGCATCAGCTACCAAACATTAAAAGGAATACATTTGGATATCAAATAATCTTATGTGGACACCATGACTTCCTTGTATGGCCTATTAAATTATACACATTTTTATTACACTTTATTTAAACTTATTACCTCATATATTTCTCATTCAATCAATACAGTTCTCACTTTGCAGCAAGGCAAAAATATACAAAAACTCAGAATATCTTCATTAAAAATTGTAAAATACAGAACCAAAAACACTAAGAACAGTTAAAAAAAAATTTTTGCAATTAAAATTAGTTTCTATGCAAAAGCAAGTAATTCAGCCAACGGGGAAAAGAAACCAAAATTTTCCAGTGCACAAGAACTTAAAGTTAACCTTTAGTCTCACTGAGCAAAAAGTCACTGAAGCTGGTGCACCAACTTAATTCAAAATACTATTAAGAGTTTCAGATGTTAACAAATAACCATCCCATTAGGCCTGGCGTGACTTACACTTGTAAACTATTCTGCTGCATGGTGATTAATTAAAGGAATTAAAATCTTAAAACAAAACTTCTTTTGAATTCGTATTAAATCCATTTTATAACCTGTTTTGGAAAAAAAGAGGCCTTTATTATGTCCATATGTACAGATGACAAGCAAAAAAAATCATTCAAATAGATTCAATAGCAGTTAAAATGGATGTTTTTGTTGAAATATGATACCCAAAATCTTTCACAATTACAATACTACATTTACTTCATACAAGAAAGAAAAAACAGTAATACATGATTGTTGTGGACATTTATTAGCAAGTTAATAGTGTAACACGTCAGCACATTATAAAGGAATAGCTATGAAATAATAAACCTTCACAGGATATTCAGAACAATTATAAGGTATTTTTCCCGTCTTCTTAGCATGCCTTCGTGGTGTAACGGTCAGCACGCTCGGTGCGTATTCAAGAGCTCTGAGGTTCAAGTCCCGGTGAGGGCATTGTACATTTATTACTTCTCCAGCATTCGAAATGACCTAATTTCACTACAATGGCGTCCAAATTAAAAAAGGTGGTGGGTGATGTTTCTCCACCACCAGGATTTGGCGATTGCATCCCCTAATCCCAAGTCGCCTTTTAAAAGGGGGAATATATAAGGTATTTCTTCCACCTTCTTAGCATGCCTTCGTGGTGCAGCAGTCAGCACATCCGGCGTGTATTCGAGGGGTCCGAGGTTCGAGTCCCAGCAAAAGCATTGCTCATTTTTCACCTCCCCTGCTTTGAAATAACTTGATGTGTCTACAGTGGCGCCCGAAATAAAAACGGTGGTGGATGATGATTCTCCACCAACAGGATTTGGCAAATATGTCCCCTAATCCCCAGTCACCTTTTAAAAGGGTGAGTATATAAGGTTATTTCTCCCACCTTCTAAGCATGTCTTTGTTGTGTAATGGTCAGCACGCTCGGTGCATAGCCGAGAGGTTTGAGTCCCGCCAAGGGCATTGTACATTTATCACTTCTCCAGCATATGAAAATGACCTAATGTCTCTACACAATAACATATATTATAAAAGTGATACATTTTGTTTTCATTTTTAACTTAACAGTGTGAGACAAATTTCTCATATTGCCATGTAATAAATAATATTTTATCTAAATTATTCTATTCTTTAATTATATAATAAGAATAAATGTGAAACTGTAATTTTCTTTTTTTCATGATTGAAATTGATTAACGTATGAAATGAAGCTTTAAATGCTACTACATCATATAAATTATCAAAGTTTTCTAATATCCATAACTGTTTTCCTTTTTTCCCAATCTGAATTTTCAGTCATTTAAGGTAGCATGAGTAGGACATTGTCCTAATGGTACTGTATACATGTTTGTGTGCCAGCATAGTTAGTATTCCTTGCCCACTACAGTTGATATGTTTTTTATATCCTTGATTTTCAAAATAAGACCAGTTTACTTTTTTTCTTTTATAGTTCTTTTCTTTTTTTAATGAAAAGTAAAACCATTTCTGGAATGTCAACAAAAATTTGCCTTTCCCTTTCAAAGTCTCTCTACCACCTGAAACAGATGTTATTTTTTCGTTGGTTAATTATTATTATTTATTTATTTAATGTTCCTCTGTTTTGTTATTTAAAAGAGATTATTTTTTGCTTATAATAAATTATGTTAAATATTACAATAGATATATATATAAGAATGAAAATGGTCGTTAAAAACAATTCTACATTTTCTGATACAAGAAATTTTATTGGTTCTGTAACAGTCAAAATAATGAAAGTATAATAAATAATGATGATTCATATATGCATATATATATGTGTGTGATATTTTTGTTAGAGATGACTTAAAGATTAGCACCAATTATTTTTTAGTCATGCCCAAGATGTTTATACATGCAAATGCAAAATGTGTGATAGAAGATGAAACCTGCACATGCTGGTGCAGATAATTAGACATATAACTTGATTTCATGATAAAACATTTCTTTGGACACATATTCTATTTTTCATATCACTGAAGGTGTGACAAGCATCCCACAATTTTATATAAAACATATCACATTTTGAGGCAATAGATGGTTTAGTGAAGCAACAAGACACACACTAGCTGGACAAACAATTTTTGAAATTAAAATTAGTTTCTATGCAAAAACAAGTACGAGGGTAAGTTGAAAAATAAGTTTCCCCTGTCGAATGTGGTCAGAGTTGTGTATGAAAGTCAAAAAATAGAATGAGACATTAAAGATATGACATACCTTTATTTTTCCACATAGGTACCAAGTACATTGAGACATTTGTCATATCGCTTGATAAGCTTCAAAAAGCCCTCCAGGAAAAATCAGGGCTTTGCATATGGAAGAAGCGTTGAACGGCTTGTTTCACTTCAGTATTGCTTCCAAAGCGCCTTTCCCCGAGATTTTTCTTCAAAGCCGGAAACAGATGGAAGTCGCTTGGTGCGAGATCAGGACTGTATGGCGGATGGTGTAGGCGCTCCCAACCAAGAGTTGCAATATGGTTTTGCGTCGCCGAATGTGGTCTGGCATTGTCATCCAACAGCAGAACGCCAGATATGAGAAGGCCAGGCCGCTTTTTCCGAATCACCTCTTTCAATTTTGACAGGGTGTCACAGTAGTACGTAGCATTGATGGTTCCAACCTCCAAAACGTCCAGCAACAAAACTCCTTGGGCGTCCCAGAAAACTGTGAGGAGCACTTTACCTGCAGAGGGAGTTGTCTTGAACTTCTTTCGGACAGGTGATGACGGATGTTTCCACTCCATAGATGCGGCCTTCGATTCTGGCGTGAAATGGTGGACCCACGTTTCATCCCCCGTCACAATCCGAAACAGAAAGTCATTGCCATCTTCATGGTAACGCACGAGATGTTCCAGGCTGACCCCCATGCGTTGTTCCTTGTGTGTCGAGGTCAATTGTCGGGGCACCCATCGTGCTGACACTTTTCTGTATCGAAGAATGTCGTGGATGATGTTTTGAGCTCGCTCATGTGAGATTTCAAGTTCTTCTGCTACTTCATCGATGGTGATACACTGGTTCGCTCTAATCATGTCATCCACCTTCCTGACATTTGCATCTGTAGTGGCCATGCGCATCCGTCCAGCTCTCGGTATGTCCTCCACTAGCTGACGTCCATCACTGAATGTGCGACACCATCTCCGCACCATTTGCTTCGACATCACACCTGGCCCACAGACTTCCACGAGGCAGTTATGAATTTCTGTTCCTGATTAAAGTATGAAAGGAAGCTTTAAATGCTACTACATCATATAAATTATCAAAGTTTTCTAATATCCCTAACTGTTTTCCTTTTTTCCCAATCTGAATTTTCATTCATTTAAGGTAGCATGAGTAGGACATCCTCCTAATGGTACTGTACACATGTTCGTGTGTCAGTATAGTTAGTATTCCTTGCCCACTACAGTTGATATGTTTTTTATATCCTTGATTTTCAAAATAAGACCAGTTTACTTTTTTCTTTTATAGTTCTTTTCTTTTTTTAATGAAAAGTAAAACCATTTCTGGAATGTCAACAAAAATTTGCCTTTCCCTTTCAAAGTCTCTCTACCACCTGAAACAGATGTTATTTTTTTGTAGGTTAATTATTATTATTTATTTATTTAATTCAGCCAACGGGTAAAAAAAACCCAAAATTTTCCAGTGCACAAGAACTTAAAGTTAACCTTTAGTACCACTGAGGAAAAAGTCACTGAAGTTGGTGCACCAACTTAATTCAAAATACTATTAAGAGTTTCAGATGTTAACAAATAACCACCCCATTAGGCCTGGCGTGACTTACACTTTTAAACTATTCTACTGCACGGAGATTAACTAAAGGAATAAAAATCTTAAAACAAAACATAATTCAATCATTTTTAAAGCAAAAAATGTACAATTTTCCAACACATAAGGATATGGTATATATACATACATATATCTATATATATGTTTGGTGCAGTTGAATGCAACAAAAAAGATACACAACTATATGTTATAGCAGTGCCATATACAAAATTTAAAAAATCTACGGCTAATAGTTTTTGAGTTATACAAGATACATACATAAGTACGTATGTGCAGGCATCACAAAAAAATTCCTTTTGAATTCATATTAAATCCATTTTATAATCTGTTTAGGGAAAAAATAGGCCTTTATTATGTCCATATGTAGAAAATCGTGTAGTAGAAAAAGTAAATGTGCATTTCACCACAGTGGTTTAATGACTTGAAATCCTATATTTAAGTTTGGAATGTGCATGTTATCAAGTCCCTGTGCATGTATGTTATGGTGCATATTATCCAGTCCCATATAGACAACATGCCTTGTTAGATCCAAGCTGTGATCAGGACACATAGTAATGTAATTAAGTTAAATCATTTCATAATATTTTGCCTGTGGTGTTTATTTACAAATAATGTATACAGTATTATTGACTGGAAAGGAGCTCATAGTATTGCAAATGACATAATGTGGGTTAGTTTTGCAAGTGGTGCAGTTTAGATTCCAGGAAGGGGGATGCACCAAATTAAAAGTAATTTTTCAAGCAATAGATAGAAATTATATCTTTGGGTCCACAAATTTAAAATTTTAAATTAACATGAGGCAAAAGTATGAATGCAATTATAAAATAAAAATCTAAACTTACGAAGTTGACACAGACGTTTGTGGTAAAACTTTGACAAAACCAGCACACTGTTCAAATGACTTTTGTCCTAAACCTTTTACTTGCAACAGCTGCTGCCGGTTGATGAAGCAACCATTTTTGGTTCGCCATTCCACAATTTGTTTTGCTCTTGTAGCGGTTAAACCAGAAATTTTCCTGCAAAGTTATTCAATTTTAATACAATAAAAATTAAAACATACAAAATAATATGTAAAGATCAAGTAAAGTCAGGTGAAGCTGTGCATATTATCTAGTCCCATATAGACAACTTGCCTCATTAGATCCAAACTGTGATCAGGACATATAGTAATGTAACCAAGTTAAATAAAATCATTTCATAATATTTTGCCTGGAGTGTTTATTTACAAACAATATAAACAGTACTATTGAATTTTATGCACATCATGAACGTATTTAAAAAGATACTTTCACAATACCCTACATTATTTACTTTGGAAATTAAATAATTGCTTTATAAATGTATATATATATATTTAATATACTATGCAATTTATTTTTAATAAAAATAATAGTACGTAATAATGGATATTTAATTTTAATATACAATATTTTTGACCAATTATTTTGTACAAGCTTAGAAGTTCCACTGCAACTGACATAACATAATAAAATTACTTGAAACACACAACCATTATTTTTACCTCAGAAGAAATTCTGGGCACACATTGAGATCGACACCCACAAAGCTCACACATTCTTCAACAATACTATCCAATGCTTTCTTCAGTTGAGCTTCTGGCACATCATGCTATAAAATATGTAATGTTACATTAATCAGTTTTTCAATCAATTATATATAAAATATACTAGAGTCAATAAATTATAAGATTGACCACTGCCTGGTGATGCTATATATAATTTTCCACGGATATGCTGTCACTGAAAAATGCCATTTTGTGGCACCTTCAGACCCAACATAACACTGATTTAATGCAACACTAGCACTTCAGTGATTGTCATACAATATGATAACGCACAAATTATGAACAGATAATGCTCCAGTATTTTCTGCCTAGATGGTTAGCACATTTAATGTTATGCATAAATTAAACACATTGATAATTAATTCAAAGTGAAATATATTTTCCCTTAAGTTCTTAATTGTGACAACAATGTAGCTGGCAAATCAGCAACACAGATGACTGACAGCATCATTTACACTTGGAGCTAGCCCTGGTTATAATTGAGCTTGGAGACACAGCAGTACGTAAACAATAAATTTTGTTAAAATCTAGGCAATGGCAATGCATGGAAATACAGCTATGAATATTATAAGTATTATCTTCATGAAGTACAATTTGCTGGATGTGGGCGAGATTATCTGTTGAGATGTCCAATATCAATTTGAACAAAGCAACAAATTCAGGCAGTTAACAGACAGTCCCTGAAAATCATTGCAAACTTCAGGAGTAACAAGAATCAGCTCTTTCTTCATGATAACTCTATTCTTGTGCCTCAGAATGAACTTTATATTCGTGCAGTCTGAATTTGTGAAACACAGGTCACAGCTTTGTTCCATTAATATATTCTCTCAATCTCACTTTTTATTTCCCAGTTCTGCATTACAAATGCATAGAAAACATTTTTAGTCATCAAAGGATATTATCCCACAATGACAGAAGTCATATGGCTGATTTGAGTTCATGAACTTCAGGAATCCTTCCAACAGTTATATTTGCACTGAAAGCGACTGCACTGCGGTCCATGGACACCATTTCAAGGATATGCATAATAGGAACTTGGCATTAAATTTTTGTGCTTAGTCTTAGAACTTACTGACTCTAGTAGAATGCCCTTTTGAAAAGCTAATAAAAGGTTTAAAAAAAAAGGTAATGTACCTGATACATTCCAACACCTAAATGTTTGGGTTCTACTTTAACATATTCTAATAAAGGATCTTGGAGTCTTCTAGCAATTGAGACTGAAAAGGACACAGAATATATGACTTAACACTAAATTATTAAATTAAACACTAAATTATCAATAACAAATTCTTAAATATGTTCCATACTTTCAGCCAATATGTTTTTGCATATTAATAAATCTACTACATAATTTCAAACTGATGTTTTATTTACAGAGCATGCTTCTTTAGAGTCATCTAAGCTTAAAGAGATGTTAAATCGAAAACTTTTACTGCAGTTTTTCTTGGCTTTGTACTTTTTGTTGCTTTATACCGTCTTTATACCGTTTATATCGTCTTTATAAGTCAGAAAAAACCATGTTCAAATTTATTATTACTAAATTAAGGAAACACTTTCAAATTTTGTGGATTTATGCTAATAATATATATTAAAACATTATTATGAATTTGTTTATTACATTAACACAATTTTTTTTGTACAAAAGGCTAAATTTCAGAAAACTGCAAAATTTATAAAGCAAAATATTACCATTTAAAAAAAAATTATTTGAACTTAAGCCTAATACAGTATTTTTTAAGAATAAGCTTTAAAAAAGCTGTTACAAAACTGTTTATTATTAAGTAATTAAAGTAATAAATATAAAATTAACTTTTTTAATTTAAAAATAAAAATTTCAAAAACCTAAAAAGTGCTAAATGTTATTTTTTTCCCCCTTCAAATCTAAAGCTGCAATATAATGAATGTTTCTTAAAAGAAGGGAAAGAAAAGGAAAGAAAAAATAATGAATAGTCTGTCACAATGATAACTGCACAGGTAAAACACTTTGTCCTCAGAAAACTTAAGACGGCAGTCTTCCACCTGCAATCTTATGGTTAAATATCTGAAAATGCAATCTGCCATTGACAGCTGATAAAACTTCTTTTAATTCAAAAAAATTAAATGTAATTTTTTTTTAATTCAATTTTGCAAAATCTCTGGCATTTGTTACTGTTCTTTCTCTTACCCCCACCCCTCGGATGATATAAACAAGCAAATGTTAAAAAATTCAATACAGATTGCAAAAGAAGATTTTAAAACAGTAAAATTTACACAAATTTTAAAAAAGAAATACAAAAGATAACTGCAGCAGTCTGTAAGCTGCTGTAGAATTTCCTTGCTACTGTTAAGATTTTATTTTGTATGCTAACACTAAACTAGAAATTACTAACTACACTAAAAACATTAACACTAAACACTAAACTAAAAACTAGAAATTGTGTAATAAATAACTTGATATATGTTAGAAATATAACCAATAGAGTTAATTTAAAAGTAATACAATTAATTTACATTATGGTAAAAAAAAGGAACTGTGTCAAGCAGAATGTAAAAGAAATGTTTAAAAGCTTCATTCCATAAATGTTTTAATTTTTCCTTATTCTTATAATGTCCTATTCTCTAGAATATATGGCAATAAAAATTGTTGCTTCTGTATTTATTTTATTTCTATTTCTTCTACTTAAGTGATATGTTTCCAACAGAATACCACAAACTAATCTTCTTCCTTGAAGATGAGTGATCAAGGCTAGCCACCTTCAAAATGTCCATTTCCACCAAATCAATTTCAATCTACAGATGAGTTTTCTTTGATTTTAAATTTTAAAACTAATATACTCATCTGGCATACAAAGCAAATGTGCAAATAAAATAAAGAAGTAATTTGCAAATTATCTGTTATACCATTATTTACTTACATAGTTCCCCCTTTTCCCATTAATTTTAGTGCTTGAAAACTAGGTGGGGAAAAATATGTGGTGCAACCATTTCTGAAAAGAAGCTTAATTGATAAATATAGCACATTAAAAATCACACAAAAAGACGCACTAATTGTATATTTCAATGGATTTATCAAATTCAATAATATTCTTTTTTCCCCCCTATGTAAAATAATTTCCTATTTGTGCATACATTTTGCCCTGTTACTATAACTCAGAAGTTTCTACATCATATGCTGAAAAAACTAGAGGGAAAGTATGCAAGGGGGGATATGTGAGTAAATGCAGTATGTGAATTTCTTCATTTTGAAAAGTTAAAAGACTTTTATTTGACTCTATCCATAATAGTTCCATTTTTGGAGAACTGAAATTAGAGACCTAGTAAAACAATTAAGCTGTGCCTGCTAATATACTGCCTGCAATAGCATCCTTTAATGATTTGACACCAACTGGTGAATGAAACTGGATTTTTGATTTTAAGATGATACTGTTTGGCCATTATACTGGGTTGGAACATAAGTAATGGCCATTTATGATGTGTTTAAAATTACGCTGTAAAAATAAAATGTATGACATAATGTTTTCAGGGTTCGTACACATTTCTGCACACGGAAATTAAGTACTTTTAAGGACCATTAATGAAAAAAATTAAGGACCTATGAGCAAAAGGGAACTGAATAAATTCAATTGAAGATATTATCTATGCCTGAATTTCACTTCTGAAATACCATCCTAAAAATAAAATAGATCCCTAAGTAGTACGCATTATTACTAAACACGAATTAATTAACATAATTGTTAATAAGTTTGAGAACAAAATAAACTATGCAATTTCTCAAGTAGCATTAAATATTTTACACTTATGATATTTGGCCATATTTGAACGTTTATATCGATTTCCTTCTCTTTTAAGCATCTTTTCTAACAATTAGAGTTTTGTATCGATATTCAAACCAATGCTCTCACTAGTTTCTGCGTGCTTCATCTCCTAACTTGTCAACCTCTTCATAATGTACCTATGAGGGTTTAATTAATCTGGTAAAAGTTAAATAGTCCAAAACCCCCGACAGACGTGAAGCATATTATCGCTATGTCTGAAAGTAACTACAATATCAGACAAAGGTTTAAATAAGCCTCTTATTTAAAAAGAACTTAGAACATAAAGGCATGTTCTGATGCTAACAAAATCAATTACATCTCACAGTGACGTAATTAAACAAGAACAGTCAAATTCAAACTAATAATGTGGACTAGTTGTCAAAGATTATACAATTTAATTGTAATTTAATCTGGTTCAATAACTCTATCATATGAGGAAATAGAAAAGGGAAATTATAGTAAAGGTTGAAATCATAAACAGTTGGGTAATTTACATAATAATAGCTGCACATATCTTTAAAGAATAATTTGCTTTATGTACTCAGTTTCTTTCTTCAACACGTTTCCTTTTCATTTTAGAATTTTTGGATTTAATTAAGGATTTTCGTTATTCCAAAAAACACTAAATGCATTTAGAATGTACAGAAAAAGCGGCTAATTTTATTTCTTTAGTAATATGAACATTCAGAAGCAATATGAAATATATATAGTAAAGGACGGTTACAGAGCTGATGTGGCAGAATTTCTAGAATTTAATGACACACCGAACAACAAAATCTAGAAATGGCAAAACTTTTAGAATTTAGAGCAAGCATTGGAAGCAGAATTTAGAAAGGCAGTAGGCAGCAGAACTTAGGATTCACAGAGATTGCATCAGGTGGGAAAATGCCTAGTGCCAGCTATGTGTATGATGTATTAAGAAATATTAGATGAATCTTTTTAATTGTAAGTTTTCAGTTTCTTTAATAATCAAAAAATCCCTTTCTATAATGCCTGTCCATGTGATAAGATCCGAAGCATTTTTGATATTATCCATGCTTCTGTCTAGTGAAAAGTAGAGAAAATAAAGAGAAGATAAATATGTTAAGATTCTAGTATCAGAAGTAATACATTCAAATATTATGTTTTCATTGTTCTTCCAGATGTTCTCCCAAAATTAAGAAATTCATTGTAAGCTTTCTGTAAAATACATCCATTACGTGTTGACACCATGGAGACATTTTTCATTTTGTCACATATTTCTGGAATCTTCTAGAATCGTGGGTCTATAAATCTTGCCTTCAAATCCTTCTAAACTTTCCAAGCTGCAATGTCTAAAATTGCAAAGAAAAATTATCCTACCCATTTCTGTAACAGTGAAAAGCCAGATATATTTTGGAAAAAAGATAGGAGGGATAAAGTATAAAATTAATTTTATAGAGAAAACTGATGCACATTCAAAGAATTTTGAATATTCTGAGACAGTTGCATGGGAAAATCTCTTACTATGAAAAAATTAAAAACAAGACATTTTTAATTAATTACATAGCTAATTTTGCTTTTGCTAAGAGCTGTTTCGTAAATTGTGCTTTATAGCATTATACCTTGTTTATTTTTCAGATTTAAAATATTATATAAGTTGCCAAAATGAAATTTTATAATACGACAGCGAATAAAAATGTTTTATTTTAATGTTATTTTTTAAATATAATTTCAATATATTACCATTATTTTAATAAAATTTATCAATGATACGACGTTTTAAAAAAAATCGTCGAAAAATACTCAGGTTTTGGAATTAAAAAGTTTCTATAGAAACTAATCTTAAAATGTGCATCAGTTTTCTCTATAAAATTAATTTTACCCCAAAAGCAAAAAGTTGTTTAAGAGCTCTTTACTAGAAAAAACGAATTTCGAAATGCTTATGTTTCACTTCTTGCTTAAAAACTCGAGTATCCCATCATTTATATTAGAAATAGAAACAAATTATAACTCATGAACCCATTCAAAAGATTACCATATATACGGCAGTGAATCGCCAAAAATATTCCTCAAAGTGCTAATTCGCACTCAAAATGTCAGTCGTAAAAACAGACAGAAATTTCAGATAATTAAAATTAAGGACCTTCTGTTGATTTTGGCCAAAATTAAGGACTTTTAAGGACCAAAAATCGATTCCAAGAAATCTAAGGACTTTTAAGGACTCTTAAGGACTGTACGAACCCTGTGTTTTGTGTTATTTGAAAGAGAATTTTTCTCTCTATAAGATGGCATATTTGATTTTTAGTCCAAAAGGGACAATTTGCCCTGAAGGACTATTAATTTCATTTTTGCATTTTGCGTTAAAAACTTAAAAAGACTGTATCACTTTTCAAATCATGGCCACCATATATCATCGCCCTGGCTTATATTTAAAGAAGTTAAATAATGAAGAATCTGCATAAATGTATATATGTTTCTCGCATTGTGATAAAACAACGGTACCTAGAGCCATCAAAATTTGAATAACGTAATCTTCCATAAAATAAGGGCATGTGGAAGCCCTAATTTGAATTTTAAATTTGATTTATTATCGATTTCAGATTTTGTAACACTTAACAAATTTTTGATTAAAAAAACTAAACATTTCAAAGCGAGCAATGGCAACGCTGTACGAAAAAAGTTTTTATCTCCAGCATGCGACACTCTGTATAGGAAATTCTAAAGATACGCTTATTTTAAAATTAATTTGCGATATTGCTGTTTAACTGAATTTTATAGTTTGAATACACACAGCATGATATTTAATAACTAAAGGTAACACACAAAACATTAAAAAGCCCCTTTGGACGTAATTCAATAAAAAAGAAAAGCATTTTCTTGTTGACACCTTCTTTTTGCATTAAATCTAGGCACCAATGCTGCAGAAGCTACCCGAGAGATTTGTGAAGTGTATGAAGAAGGTGCAACGTCTGAACAAACTGCAAGAAATTGGTTTGCCAAATTCAAAAATGGAAATTTCAACCTTAGTCTTTACGGTTGAAATTTTAATTTTTGAATTTGGAATTGCTGCTTGTTCCAGATGATCAAATGAGTTTGATGAAGAGTGTTTGAATAGACTTCTGCATGAAGACATGCGTCAAACCACTCGAGAATTAGCTGAATGAGTGGGTTGTAGCCAAATGACTATAGTTCAACATCTTAAGTCTATGGGGAGAAGTCCCAAAACTCAGATATTATTGACTAATTTATTGTTTTTTGTTTTGTGAAAATAAAAAATTTTTAATTAAAAAATGGCCATTACTTATGTTTCAACACAATACATAAATTCTAATCAAAGTAATTGTTATTCTTTGTACCATGTTCTGCCTCTGTATGAACTTGGCTATATAAGAAGGTGAATAAATGATTTCTCTTAAACCAAATCTCAATTTTTATTCTAATGCTCTGTCAGATGTTGTTCACATAACATTTCCATCTTATATCTTCCATTATCTACAGATACATCGTATATAGTATAAAAATAGGAACACTTGTGATCTTTTGGCAAAATGCCTCATGCAAGAGAGAATGTTCTTTTCTTGTCTAATCTAGTAAACCCACACATAAAATGCTGTAAAAATTAACACAAGATAAATAAATTTTGTCCCAAGACCTTTCTGTGAGGAAATAATTACCAAAAAATTGCACAATGTAGGTATGCATACCTTTAATTGTTCTGAAGTTTGGAAAGAAGTCATCCTCACCCTCCTTTAGCAAAAAGTAAAAATAAACAAAGGGAAGCAACAGAAAGAGGGAAGAAATAAAAAGAAAAGAGGGAACATTAACAAGAAAAGAAAAAAAAAAAAAAAAAAATTCTTATCTTTCTAGAAGTACCTAAAACAGATTCTAGAGTTATCAAACACTCACACACATCAAGAGTAAGGGATGGTATATTTGGCAGTGTATTGGTAGATACTAGTAATATATAACTACTACAAATTTGCACAGAAATGGCACTTTTCCAAGAACATGGTATAACCCTTTGAAGCGTGATGGTCGTGCCCTGAAACCACCAATTTTCAATTTTTTTCTCCTCTTCTTTTCAAAATTTATGAGTGAAAATCAATTGATTACTGATCTTTTACCTCTAAATAACAAAAATTGATTGCAGAATCATACATGTTTTAGGTCTTCAAATCGGATGCCTTTTAAAATTCGTTTTCAACGAGACAAAATAGCTTCTTTTTATTAATATAAACAACTTTAAATTTCAAAAGTTATTCATTGCAATCATGATTTCTATCATAAACAATAAGAAATTTCAATAATTAAACTGCATATATATATATATATATATATATATATATATAAAACTCTATATGTATGGCATTTGCTTTGTGGTTTCAGGGCACGACCACTGAGCCGCTACAGCATTCTGTCACAATGCTCACAATCCTCTAGAGGTTCGGTGGTCGTGCCTTAAAACCACTTCTTTTCACAATGGCATTTGTTTGCTTTTCAAATAGGAATGTTTATTTTTACCCGGATATAGGTAAGGGGCTTTGAAACCACAGAGTTATTTTATTACTAAACAATACATGCACCTGCCCAGTAAAAAGGTCTTTCTTTTCGAAAGACTTTTCTCTGAGCTCAACACACTTGCTTTCCAAGGTAGTATTGTGATTTTATAAATTATTTCGTGTGGTTTAAATTTAATGTAAATATATTTTGTTACAATTAAAAATAAAAATTGTGTAAAGTTTTATTTAAATTAAAAATATTTTCTGAATATTTTGGGATGAAATACGAATAAAACAAGTATGAATGGGAAAGAAATGATCCGTACCAAAGCTAAAAGAACCAAGCCTTCCCCTTAACATTAAAAAAAAAAAAAAAAAAAAAAAAAAAAAAAAAAAAAAAAATTCATGTGCCAGATGAAAAGAAACTACATAATGCTGGACATATACCAGTGAAATTTAGATCCAGGCAGTGTACATTTTGTAGCACTAGGAAGAAACCTCATAGAACAAAATACATGTGCGAAACTTGCAATGTGGGTCTACGCATGTACCAAAAAGACAAAACATGCTTTGAAGAATGTCACAAAAATTTTTTTTCTTTGATATTAAAAAAAAACACTGAGTTTTTTAATCCTTATTTTACTGAGTTTTTTTAATCCACATATTCGAACGTCTTTATTATATAGGAACTTATATTTTCACTGCTATTGAAAAATTACATAAATGTTTATTTTTAAATTTTTTCTGACGATTTACTTTGTAAAATAATGTAAAAAAATTATATATACTGCAATTCTTACATTTTTTTTTTAATTCGTAAATTTCATCATTTATTGGAGATGCGCATGGAAAAAGGTAAGTTTTTTTTTGCCTAGTACCTCAATAAGTTCCAAAGTCCTAGACATGCGGTGGTTTCAAAGTGCGACCACCACCGACAGAACAATGGGCAAGAGTAATTTTTTTAATTCATATATTTTTTGTCTCTAGGATCATAATATTCAATTTCTTAAGTTTTTAGTTAAAAAAATTATAAAAATAATATCATGCTCGTCAAAGGGATAATCCAGAAGCTTTTAAGAATTTCTAAGCAACACACTTATTCTGTTAGGATAGCCATAATTTAAATTTGAGTTTAATACCTGCACTTCTCACATTAGGATCCATGTCAGGCAATTCCAATTCAGCTTCTTTGGTAACACTGTATATTGAAACGCCACTCTCATTTATGATACTGGAAGAGAAGCCATGCATTACAAAATCAGAAAATTACCACATTTTCCTCTTTTTTTTTTTTTTTTTTTTTTTTTTTTTTTTTTTTTTTTTTTTACTAATTTTACTGCCCAAAAATTGAGAGAGGAAAACTATGCAAATAATTTAATTTCGAAAGGGCACAGTTAAAGTTAGAACATAACACATAAAAAGCAGTCATGGATAAGCTACAGGTAACTATCACAATTTTATTCCTTTAAAAGAAACTTACATTTTAACAGGAATACATACACCACAATATCTAATAAGATGACTTTATTTATACTTCCCTGTAGCCTCCATTGTTATTGTTGCCGCTACTTCTTAGGCTTCAAATCTTTCAGAAAAATTAGAGAAGGTAAGTTAGTGACTTAGCAAAATCATTGACTGAATGTCAGTTTGTGTTTGCTTCACTGCAATTGGTCAGTTCATATATTATACAGGCATAAAATTCAGCAGTTAGACGGGAAAGGTTCAGTGTGACCTTTGCAGGTAATTTGCGAGGATTCTTTGTTAATACAATGAAAACAATCACTACATGAACAAATCCACTTTAAAATAAAGGGAGCTTATTTTCCGGATGCATTGAGGAATGGGAAAAATTACACGAATATTTTTAAAACTTTCAGAACCTGGTGCTAAAATATTAGTGGGAAAAATGCATGAGGAAATACAGTATTTCCTGTGTATGCGCTAAGCAAAGAATACTTTTTCGACGATCTAAACATAAAAGAAGAAATGTGATAAAACCTTTAAATGCAGTTTATATACTTTATATTTACAAAGATTTTATGTGAAGCAGTCATTATCTAGAGTTCACGACAAATTTAATAAACTAAAACGATTTAGCTTTTCCTTTTATATTAAAAATGATTTTATATGAAAAGTTCAACTAATAACAAATGTAATCTATTTAAACAATTTTGTTTCTGTTTCAATTAGTATTAGTAGCTAAGAATACATAAAACATATCTGGAAATTTCCTGTTTGCCCCTGGCTAACACATGAACAAATGCTCGTGAACCAAAATACAGATCTAAAAATAAATTTTAAGCATTAAACTACTTTTACTGGGAATGCAATAATCCTTCATTATCCATGCTCATTTATGTATAAACAAAAAACAGGGTAAATAAATTAGAAACATTAACTAGTGCATGAATGGAGGCAGTAAGGTAATAAAGTTTCATTTGCATCTTGCACTCAGCATCTTAAAGTTAAAAAAAGGGGAGATATAAAAAGAAAAATATTTATTAGAATTCATTGAAACTCTCACAGATCATGGTATATAATAAAAGACATGAGTGTGGAGAAATGTAAATTGGGGAAGACATCACCAAACTTGTACCAATCATTCTTGTAGAAGGAAAATCTTTGTTCTAATTTAGTTGCATAATCAATGAATACAAGTTATGCTGTTTGAAGTAAATTACACTCCCCATGATATTTGCTTATCACATCCATTTTCAAGTCAAATCCCATATCATCCTTATAAATGCAACAAGTAAAAATTAATTTCGGAAATACTCCATTGCATGCTGTTCTCAGGTCCAAAATTTTAATCTTTCTAATTTTATTAACAATTATTATTGTTATTATTTTCAAACTGCAAGGGTAGGAATAAAAATAAAAAATAGGAGTTTACTTATATCCTTCTTTGGAAAAATAAAACTAGTTTATTAAGGATTAATCAATGTTACTATAAATCTAAAGAAAGAACCTTACAAGCATGCTGTGGCATTACACTCATTATCAGTGCTTAATTACTCTCTTTGGTAAGAGTTCAAAAATGATCGATGGGATAATAAGTAAGTACTAAAAGTTCAATGGTGGAGAACTGTCAATGCAGAATGCAACGAGTTCTGTTAAACGAAATATATCCAATAACATCAATTCATGCCAAGCAATGATGATTTGGCACATAATAAATCTCTAAAAACACATTTAACTACACTCCCTTCCCAAAAAAGTAGGAGACAGAGAGCTGCTTATTACCAATATTTGACATCCAAAGGCTCAAAAAAATTCTTCTTTATCAAATCTGAAAGCCACACTTCTGTTTCTCTGCATGCAGTACCATTTCCAATGGCAATTACTTCTGCTCTAAAAAATATGGAAACTATATTCAGGAATAATTATACAGAAAGACATATATATGGAAAAATGTCTTTAATACTTCTATGTAATAACAGCAAATTTACCTATGAACATATTATTCTAAAATGGTAATATGTTTTGGTTGTACATGATTAAAAAATAACAATTTTTGAATAAACTATAACCATATAAACATGTAAAATTACAAATAAAACTAAAACTATAGCTTAAATAAATAAAATTAAAATAGAATAAATACATGTCTTGGCAAAGTTCACTTATATCAACAACTTAAAAAAAAAAAAAAAAAAAAAAAAAAAAAAAAAAAAAAACTATATAAAACTTTGATGTGCCTACTGCTGGCCTTATCACTAATATAAATAATGAATTAATTATATATATATATATTGATGATTTATATTTAAGACATAGAAGTTCAATTTTTTTTTTTTTTTTTTTTTTTTTTTTTTTTTTTTTACCCAGGGATAGCTAAAACTCCAATCCACGAGAGCTCCCAATTATAAACTATCTTTTCTCTTTTTGTAGTCAAGCAAAAATAAGATCACAGTCAAATTAGTTGCATTTCTTCTTAATTCTTGATTTAAAACTAAATTTATTATCATATGTTATGCTAATTTTATTATAGTTTATCAATAAAAAACAATAGCTTTAGTTAGTGGCAGTTTCCTTATGCAGAAATTGCTATGTATTGGTCTTGTTTATATAAGTAAAAATAATAAAATAACAGCAAAATAAAATAGCAAATAAAAATAATAAAATAATAGCAAATAAAAAACTAAATAAATAATTGTATATTTAGTTAAAGAAGCTATCAAAATAAATAAATAAATATAAAATCAGCATTTTAATTGAAACAGAAATGGGTTGCAAGCTTATTCATTTTTGTAGAAAAAGATTCAGATCCCCCCTTAAGGAATCCATCTCCTTGCAAAAGAATGGCTCTTGATGCACACAGATTTAAATTTTTATAAATCTGCATTTCAAGTAAATGGACTGAAATATGCTTTGAAATTTACCATCACTAGATAAAGCTGATTGACAAACCACAGAGCCTATACATATCTAAAAAAGAATTATATATAATAGAATTCCCATTAACTAAGATAATACGTTTAATGCTGTGTTAACTTAAAATCATTGTTAATCTGAGAGAGTTAAAAATATTCAGAAAAGACAATTAAACCAGAATACAATTAACATAAAAATACTGATAACAATTTATCTGTACTTTCAAGCAGGTTAATCTGGATAATAAATTCATTTGGTTATGTAATTTTAATTCATGTTCAAAGAAAAAACATATACTATAAATAATGAAAGAATAAATATGTAATAAATTAATTACAAAAAACTTTACTTGAGAATTTCTGTTTTTATCAAATTTTCTTTAATTGATATAATTTAAAATATTTAAAAAAGAACTTTAACAGTGTCATTGAGTTCCGAATTTAAAAAGGTCAGTTACGACTTTCTGCTTTTTATAGCACATTGTTTAATATTCAAGATTGTGTCCAGTCAGATAGTATACTTTGTTATGAATAAAAACATCTCACAAATATTATGATATCATCTGCTATCAGTGTTGTTATCCTATCCTATCTACTTTTCTTTTCTTTATGTCCTTATACATAGTTGTCCCCCCCCCATCATAATCCTTTGCAATAGTTATTTTTTTACAATTTCGGAATAAACAAACTCAACTTCCTTTTTAGTCACAACTTGGTTCATTTGCTTTCCCCCCCAGATAATCTAGAACTAAGAGTATATTAGTAAAGTAAAGCATGAAAGTTATTAGTGTTAGTAAAAAATGAAGTGAAATGAATATTAGTACAAAATGAAGACATTCATAATGATAATTAGCACAAATGAGAAAATTTTTTAATGCTCGCTGTAATTATTAGGTACTTAATCCGCAAGTATCAAAGTATTGTTATAATAGTAGTAAATTCAGTAGAAATAGCATTCATGATATGCAAGTTTTAGAGGTCTACAATGCAAACAATGCATAGGAACAAAGCATAACCACATGTTAACCAGGAATCCTGCATACAATATTTCAGTGTCTTCTCAAATGTCTAACCATGTGAATTGTAATTTATATGTATCTACTGGTTTCAAATTTCCATGACTTCTTCGGAAATGAACAAAATAGTAAGAGCCAGAAAAGAATACTTGATCCAGTTATGCAAAAGCATTGCCTTACGAAGTCGACAAAAAGTTTAAAACCATTTACGATTTCTTTAATATAACTAGTACAGTCAAAAGTTGTTAATCCGGACCCGTCGGGACTTCGGCGATTCCGGATTACAGATCATCAGTTTAAATCTGGTAAGATGGCATGCAGAAATTATAAAATTAAAAATATGAAACCATAATTAATGAAATAAAGAACAATTATGATGTAAAGGGTATCAAAATTTACAAAAAGAAAAAGCTTAATATTCATTTGTTTACTTTATTAAACATATCTTTCAATGTAAGTTGTTTAAGTTGCTTCATTTCATGGGATAATGCTTTCTCTTTAATTCTATTAAACAGACATAATTTCTTGTTTAGTTACAAAGTTCCGCTGTTCAAGTCCTATTATTGCTGTGTCGAGAATACCGAATAATTTGTCAATCAAAATTTTTTCGTTTTCAGTAACCTCTGTGTCACTTTGTTCACTATCGGAAGCGAATTATAATGACGAGGAATTTGATTTAAATCATATCAAAAACGGAGTACATCGAGATGAAATACTACATTTAGTAAGGAATTATAAGCCAAATAAAATAAAAACATCTGCCCTGAAGATAAGGATAGTGCTGACAGATCAACTTCCAATTCATTGCGCGCCGCATCGTCCCCCCCCCGCAGAGCAGCCTGAAATTGATAAACATATTTCGGAATGATTAGATAATCAAAGGATATGCCTTTATCCATTTTTTGCAGCAATTCCACTTTCTGTTTAATGGACTTCGAAACATACTTTTGCTTTGTAGATCCTTTACATATTAGTAAATATATATCGGAAATTCTATTTAACATAATCGAAAGATCAAGCTTACTTTTATAAAATTGCTCTAAAAGTCTGCAAAAAATAATAAGCCTGATCCAATTCGAAGATTAAGGAACAACACAATCTGCAACATTAACTGAATTAGATAATTTTAGCTTAGTTTATACCATACGTTAAACATTAAGCGAGCATGCATAAACATATTATGCGCATGCGCACACACATATTCGCAGCCGTAAAGGTCTTATGCACACGCATAAACGCCTATGCGCATTGATGCAAAAGCAAAGTTTAAAGTTGTAAAATTTAACTTTTAGCATAAGTAGCAATAGAAGCTCCCTAAGGTTATGTACTGTGCAGACACTGAAGACAAAAGTTTTAAACTTAACCAATTTATTAACAATATATAAAAATAAAAACACATGAATAAATTTAATAAATATCAGAAACTTAAAGAGTATAACATAATCATTATCAAAATTACACTTAGTTGATAATCCATTAACCCCAAGGGTTTTCCTTTAAAGAATGTTACACTATTAAAGAATATTTTACCTGATCTCCAAATACTGGCATTCAATACGCGAAAAACATATCACTAAACAGAAATTACGCGGTTATAATGAAATTTGCTACACTATTAATAAGTCCATGCTTCGAGGTCAAGAAGGCACCTGTAAAATTGAACTAAATCTTTAAAAAGCCTTCACATTCCCGCAATTGAAAAATTCGAATTTTTAAACCGGAAATGCCACGGAAATCACTTGGATCATATCTTTACTGCTGGCTTTAGCTACTAGGAGCTCTTACCAGTATATTATCATTTTACCATAGGCCATAAAGTTAAAAATTTAAGAGGTGTATTTAAAATACACCGCGCCCGAAGGCGAGATCAATAAATGAGAGAACTCATAAAATAAGTTTTGCTAAATTGCATATCATGGCATAGCATGGGTGATTATATACGTAAATGGTGGCGAGAAGCGAAATGAAAGTCTAAGCTTCTGCGTGAGTCAAGAAGAGCAGGAAACACGTGATCAGCGTCCGGCATTTAGATTGGTCGAGGAGTCAGAGTTCGAAAAATGAAGTTTTTGTAGTTTTTGGCAATAAATAAAGTTCGAACATAGTAAAAGCAACATCTATTTGTGAATTTAAGAGTCCTATGTCTTTTGAAACACTTGAAAATCTTCTAAACTTGCGATATAATCATTAAATGAATAGGAAACTGTAAAAGGCGAAAATGAGGTCATGTAGCTCACTAGGGCTAATGAGTGAGAGTAAGCACTTGGTGTTACCACGAACTTTGATTTTAAAACACACGATACGAAATAGTAAAAATAAAAAAAAGTAAAAATCTTGGTTAAATAAGTAGTAAAACGAAGAATTCATCGATGAAAAATAAAGTCCTAATTTTGCAAAGTTCATCTTTCTTGAATAGTAACTGCAAAGGAATAGTAAATTTTTTTTTTTTTTTTTTACATTATATACACTACCACCACTTAGAATTGTGGTGGATCGTTCGAGGTCTTTTCACTACGTTCTCAATAGTAGGGTCATAGTCTGTAAGCGATTTAATAGCTTCATAGGGAGAATTTCTCATATCTTCAAAGAAGTTGTGTGCAGAAATTAGGATTTGGTCGTGAATTGGATTGATATCCAGGTCTTTGTGAATTTGAGAATTTCGCACGAACCAGGGTGCGTTCACTATGCTACGTAAGATTTTGTTTTGAAGTACATTTAATTTTTGTCTGTCTATTTTTCGGGCAGTAGCCCAGGCTGGAACTGCATAGAGGATTATTGGTCGAATAAGTGAGATGTAGATATTTTTCTTGGTACGGAGGTTTAACTTAGAGTTTCTTCCAATTAATGAGTAGAGAGCAATGAAAGCAGCGTTAGCCTTATTTGTAACATATTGAATATGATCTTTGAAATTTAGGGTTTTGTCAATATAGACACCTAAAGTATTTATAGGAGTTGGCAACAGGAATATCTTGGTTATTGAGTCGGATATTTATATTCACTGGGATATATTTTTTCTGTATCTGCGAAAGAGAACTACGCAGCATTTATCAGTATTTAGTTTGATTTTCCAGTCTTGACAAAATTTGTTAATAATGTTGACTTGGAGCTGAAGTTTCTCTAAAGCATTATTTGGACTTCGTGAACTGGTGAGGATGACTGTGTCGTCGGCATATTTGAGTATATTAGAATGAAAAGGTAGAGGCATATCATTTATGAATATTGTAAAAAGCTTCGGTCCTAAAACACTGCCTTGAGCTACTCCACTGTAAATCACTTTTTTTGAAGAGATTGCTTGCTTCACCACAGCGCACTTGAAAAGTACGATGTTTAAAATAAGAATGCATAAGCTTAATAAAGCTGTTTGGTAAAAGGAAGTTAGATAGCTTATGAAGTAAGCCAGCATGCCACACTCGATCGAAAGCTTTTTCGAAATCGAGGAAGCATGCCGCTACTCCGTTCTTTTTTGTAAATTCTTGGGCAATAAATTCAACTAAATTTAATATTTGATGTGTGGTATTGTGGCCTTTGCGGAATCCAAATTGATGCTTGTCTATTAGATTAAGGCGTTCTAGATGATTGGTGAGCCGAGCACTAAGTACTCGTTCGAAAACTTTTCCAAGCGCTGGCAGAAGACTGATGGGTCTGTAATTTTTTGCTAGCTTTGGATCTTTTCCTGGTTTCGGGATCGTAACAATGATCGAATGTTTCCACTGCGATGGAAAGTAGCTGAGTCTAATACAAGCATTAAAAATATTTGTAATTAAGACTATGCATCTTCTAGGTAAAGCTTGCAACGCTTCATTAGAAATCATGTCATATCCTTTAGCTTTGCGCTTCTTTAATTTTTTAATAATTTGCTGAACTTCGTTTGGAGATGCAGGCGTAAAAAAATTAATGCTGGGACTGTTGAGGATGCTATTGACAGAGTAATTAATATCTTTTTCGTGATCAGAATTTTTATTTTCATGTTGTTTAAAAATGTTTTCTAATTCTTTTGCATGAATTTCAGCAATGGAGTCTTCGGAGTGGTGAATTTTGCCCATGTGATACAGGGGGTGAATTTGATTGGGTGAAAGATTTCTGAGTGATTTAGCTACTTTCCAAACAGAGTTTGGGTAAAGATCCATGTTTTCTAGGAAATTATCCCACGAATTTGATCGATGGGTGGCGATGTCTTCTTTTATTTTTCTGTTTAAATAATTAATATGACGTTTTTCAGTAGGATTGCGAGTAATATGCCATCTTTTTCTAAGTCTATTTCTTTCTTGTATAAGGGATTTAATTTCTTCTGGGATGCCATAGGGATTTTTATTCTTGACTGTATAGGTAGCATTATTGATAGCGTTTTGAATTTTGGAGTTTAATCTGGTGATTTCCAGCTCAATATCGCAGTCATAACGAAGTGTGGCTCTGCTGTTAACAGAATTTAGCTGTTCGGTAACCATATACCAATTAACTTTTGTATGAGCTTTAGGGAGAGGGGGATAAAATCCATAGAAGTTGAAGACTATAGGGAGATGGTCAGACGAAAGTTCTGGGAGAACATCAAGATTAGGAATATTAGGAAGGTTTTTCATCAAAACTATATCTAAAATATCCCCTAGTCCGTTGTGCGTATAGTGCGTTGGGTGATTGGGAGCAATGAGATTGATGTTACTATTGTGGATGAAGTTGCTTAAATTTTCTCCATTTCTATTTGTGACTCTACAGTTCCAAGAGGAATGTTTAGCATTTAAATCACCTGCTATTAAGGTGGGGTAGTTATTTTCAGTAAGTAGTTTCAGATTATTGAGATCAAGAGTGCTGGAGGGGGGATTGTAGACGGAGATAAAAAGAAAAGGTTCTCTAAAACCACTATAGATAAGTACTGCAGCATTTTCTATAGTACAAGCAGGGATTTAAATCATATTTGGCTGTTTTGATATGGTTTTTAATGAGAATTGCGTTTCCTCCCCCTCTATTATGTCTTCTGTCTTTTCTGTAGATGCGGTAGCCTTGTATTTTAAATTTGTCGCAAGAGCGGAGATGGGTTTCATTTACTAGCATAACATCAATGTTATGTCTAGTAAGAAAATTTGAAATTTCCACTTGTTGGTATCTGATGCCGTTTGCATTATAGTAACAAATCTTTAAGAAGCTATTTGTAGCTGAGATAAAATTTATTTGACTATGAGTTTGATTAAAATTCATAGTTTAGATTTGAGAAATATTCGAAGGCCGCCATACCGACCTCTAGTTTGTCTAATATTGTTTTTGCTGTTTTAAATTTCTGGAAGAATTCTTTAACTTGAGTGAATTGGATTTTTATCCAGTCAAAAAAGCCAAGTGGGTTTGAGTTTGTGTCTTCTGTTTTACTAGTGTTTTCATTTTCCTTGGAAGTATTCCATGCATTTTTTGGTTTGTTCTCAGGGAGTGAAGGAAAATCCTTTTTGTTAAATTTAAATTGTTCTTTTTTCTTTTCTTCTTTGAAAGCTTTAGATTCTTCGATTTGCTTCTGAACATTATAAGGATGTTTACTGCAACCTTTGAAGGAAGAAACGTGATTTTGCCCACAGAGGGCACAGACAGGGAGTTTGTTGTCATTTTTTGTTTGTTTACAAGTGAATGTTTCATGAGGCTCTGCACATTTTAAACAGCGAGGTTTATAGTGACATTTGTCCCGTGTGTGCCCGTACCTTTGGCACTTATGGCACTGCACGGGTCCAGGGCGAGCTTTAAAAGGCTCGATGAAGACATCCAGACCTCTGAGTTTCTTTAGATCATATATTCTTTTACCTTCTTTATTTCTAGTACATTCTGCTATAAAAACAGGAAGATGAACTTTCTTTCCTTCAATAGTGTGAATTACTTGTCGAATTTTTTGAATTGGGATACCTTCTTGGGCAATTTCGTTTTTGATTAGTTCCATATTAGCTGTTTTTGGAAGTTTTTTAATTATTGCCTTGATAGGCTTTTCACTGTTGAGTTTAAAAGTATGAAAAGGAATAAGTAGTTTAGTTAGGTATTCAGTAACTGTGCGGTAGTGGTCTGAGTCATAAACTCTTATGGTCAGTGTACCTCCACTTAGGTTTCCACGATATTTTTTTATATTTAATTGCTCTTCAAAATCTTCTTTCATCTTATCCCAATCCCCCGTGAAGTCTGCTAAGACTATAGGGGGAATGTGTCCTGCTTTTTTGTTGGGTGTAATAAATTCACCTTCCTCTGCTTCCATATTGTCTTCAGGGTTTAGTTCCTCGAATTTATTTTTTTGAGCTGGTTCTTCAATTTCGGAATTTGATAGAGTTCTTTTATGAGTTTTTCTAGGGGTTATGTATCCTTCTTTATCTATTGTGGTTTTCTTTTTGATTCTAGATTTTTGACTAGCAGTAATATCAGATTGATTTGTTTCCTCTGTTGGATTATTTAGGGTTTCTTTTTGTTTCATTTCATTAATGTATAATTCTAAGATTTGTATATCCTTTTCCATAGCATTGACGTGGGCTAAGTGAACTTCAGTCGCATTTTTTGGATTAAATGAATTTTGATAAGCATGAAACTCAGAAAGCATAAGTTGCTTAAGTTTTTCTAAGTTATCGCAGGTAACTTCCAGATTTCTGTGATCACACACAGATTTGATACGGTTTTCGATCGCCTCCTTGTCCATGATATGCATGAATCCTAACTTTTAACCTAATGGCGAAAAGGCGAAAAGAATAAAGAAAACATACTTATCGTGAACATCAAGAAGAGACGACAGCAACTCAGGATCAGCTTCAGTAGTGAGAGCAATGTCGTTTTCCCTTACTTCACAAAATCGCAGGAAAAGCAACGCCGTAGACAGAAAGAACAATTTCTTTAATCAACAGCAACACCTCATGCCAGCACTACCAAAAATGCGAAACTGAGCAAATATTTTTCAATTCTAAATGTTTATATCTCGCAAGGCCTGCCGGGAAAAAGATGTCAAACGTTCTTTGGTCAGACGATTAAAGAACGCTAACATGATTAGTTTTGTTTTCAACAACCACATTACCATTTCAATTAAATACCACAAACAGTGATTAAATTTTGGAATAATTAGTTTTAAATAATAATACGGGCAATTTAAGGCGTAATTTATCGGATGCACAATGACAAAATACTACTATTAGATCTGCATTTGGAATAAATATTTTGCACTCTTTCAACTCATTAGACATTACGAACACTGATATTAATTAATCGCAAAGCTTAAACGTTTAAATACTTACTCACTACATATAACAGTGCAAAGTGCATGAGAATAATCTGCATAAAATGAACACAAAATATTTCAAGCAGTAATTGTAAACATTTTCTTACTTACCTGCGCTATACAACCAACATGCATTCAGCCATGTTTTTTTCTGCAACTAGCTTTCAAACACTTTTCTCCTGATTAGCTAATTTCCAGTCAGTCACGTGATTCTTCCGCGCGGTTTCTGAAACATTATCTATAATGCTACAAGCAAATCAGCTGTTACCGCTACAGTTTGCTTTCAACCGGTTACCTGCTGGAGTCGTTCTTTAACTCAGTACGATTTTGTTGCTATCTAGTAACAAACACACTTTGGAGCAACTTTTGACTGTTTGTTATCATCTCATAACCTATTTGTAACCTATTTCTTGACTTTATTAGAAACGAGAATATCACATTAAGTATTTTGCGACTTTCGCCTTGCTAGCAAATTATTATCATTTTGAAAATTTCCCAAATTTTGATAATTACTTGATTTTTGAAGATTAACTAACCCTTGATGAAATAACGATTTTAAGAAAGAGGCATGCTGAAAGAATTTAATATTTGTGTCCCCTCTTCTAGAGAAAAAATGGTTTCATAATTGACATTACTGCTAGTTTCATCAGCTTGAACGGGAAAGGAATACGTGACGGTATATTTTTAGGAAAGAAAATGGAGCAAAGGGAAAAAAAGAATAAAAGAGAAAATTAAGTTATAAGGCTTTTAAATGTTTAAGAAATATGGGATTGAATTAAAAATCATTAAATTGTTATATTTTAATGAATATGGAAAATTAAAAAAAAATAAGTCACTAGTTGAAAACAATAGCGCAAAACGTCAAAATTGATGGATAGACCACTAATTAATTAACAACAGAAGATTGTTAATTTCTCCTTTCTTGATATATGATTCGTGCTTTATAATTCAGAATTAATAAATTCTAGAAGGTTTTACAGAATTGCATAAAAAAATTTCCTAAGTTCGAAATAGTATTGTAACCGGTGTTTCAAATGTTTGGATGGAATATCCAAAAATTGCAAATTAAAATAAATTCATATATATTACTCAATTCAATTATCTTTTATTAGAAAATTCTTAGAAAAAACTTACGCGAATTAAAACAAATTGTACCCCTTGAAGAAGGGCTACAAATGGCACTCGATTAGTATCGAAAGAACTTTACATAAAATCTACGCCAGTACTTTTTCCTCCTTTCCCCCTCTTTTCCTGTTCTCTCTCTTTTTTGTGTGTAATTTTATATTTCATTTTAAATTTATTTTATTTTATTATTGAAGGATTGTTAAAGAATTAACAATGCAGGAAATATGAATTATGTTTCTCACATCTGATCACTTAGCTTCATATTCTAGATCTAAATTTGAATTTCATTACATGAAACATGAAAAATAGTAGAAACAGAGGAAATTTGAAGAATTGTATCAGAAAATAAAATATTTTGAGGCATTTCTAGTTCCATTAAACCATGGAGGTTGCTCCTTCTGTAATCAAAGTCAAACTCTTAAATAATGCCATGTCATTTCAGCTCTCGTTGCCACATCTTTCTCGTCATTTCAAACAAACTTGTAAAATTTTGAATCCGTGTCATATGGCATTTAGTCCAATCAATTTTATTTTGCTTGGCTTAACGAGAACAAAACTTTGTTTTAGTGTATTTACGTATTAACGCAACCACCTTAGTAGAAGTCGCCAAATTTTCAGAATATAGCAAACTCTGGTAACCATTCTTCCAGCAGCCATGATAATAACAATCCTTCAGTCAAGCAACGCTGTCATTTTTGTATGCGTTCTTTGTTGTTGTATTCTAAGTTTCGACGATTTTTATAAACAAATCGTGATATTTTTTTGCCTTAAATTTAGTTTCAAAATATGAACTTATGGAACTTGCCAGCAATGGAAGAATCTAAAGGAAACAACGAGAAAAGCCGCAGTTGCCGAGCATTGCACGAACTCGAGTCTTTTGCAGTTCTCTGGTATTTACCCAAGGGAAAACGGATCGGGTTAATCTTTGGATTATGATAACTTGGCGATTTTTTGGCGAAAATTTGGCGACCAACTCTGCTACAGCAACCTTTTTTTTTTTTTTTTTTCCGCCGCCATTTTGTCTTCACGAAGTAAAGACATGTTTCTTTTCTTTTTATTTACTGAACACTTTTTCCAACAATCTACTAGCCGAATTACACTTATGCTAGAAATTTTATGTAACAAAACTGATTAATCATGACAAATATTAACTGCAAAATTGGGAAAAAGTGCAGAATCGCAAACTCCTTTCGCGTTCTTCAGAATAGCACATACACATAAACCATTTACACGTCGACTTATTTTTACTTAAAAAAACATCCCAGAATTGCACAAAAATGACATTTCACACACTCTTAACTTTATCCATCTACACTGCTATTTTTTCATAAATTACAAAAATTTGCACGAAAATGCAAAAAAATTCTGTGAATCTTTAAACTCGGTAAAAAGCACATATATGAAATTACCTGATCGCGAAAAAGTATACCCTTTCCAAGGATGAACATTTCCACGTATAAAATAAATAGAATATCCAAAAACTTTTACCTCTAAATTATCTACTATATTATAAACGTCACCAACGAATTCATACCGCAAACATTACAAATGGTTACAAATACTTAGTGTCAAATATTTAAATTACTTCCATGCACGTTTACTTCAACTGAAACGTGTACCAAATTCCTACAACATAAAATTCACAAAATAACTATCATTTAATTAAAAATATCATTAAACCATGTACACGTCGACTTATTTTTACTTAAAAAAAAACATCCCAGAATTGCACAAAAAATGGCATTGCGCACACTCTTCACTATATCCATGTACACTGCTTTTTCTCATAAATTAGAAAAATTTCACGAAAATGCATGATGAAAATACTCAACGTATTCTACTCAAACGTATTCCAAATACTACAAACATATAACTCACAAAATCACGATCATTAAATTAAAATATAATTAAATTAAAAAAACACTACTTAAAATATAAATAAGCACATACATTAAATTAATAAAAATTAGATTACAATCCTAATTACTTTAAACTAAATCATTGCTAATAACAATTTTCCAATAATATCATGTTAATTTATTTACTCCTTACATTTAGAACAATGCATAAAAATAATATCTCAAATGATTAAAAATACTAACTTACCTAATCTTCAGAATCTTCATTACGTGGCACGCACACTTTCACTATTTCACACAACACGCAATGAAGCTTAATACAAAATAATATAGTACTACAGTTTTCCAAATTCCCCCCCCTTTTCCGATTAAAGAACTATAATTCGTCCATTAATGTCACATGACATATCTCGTGATCTCTCATTTCCCTCACACAAAATAATGCGTAATCGGAACTGAGTACTTCTCACATTATTACCAAAGTCCTAGGTAGTAACCTTTATCGCCTCCAAAATGTCGCCAAACTACCAGTTACCATATTCCAAAGATCAGCGACGGATCGTTGTGTACTTCGGGAGAACAACAGCTCGGAAAAAATTACAGGAAGATTTGAAGAAGAATGTAAGAGTTATATTTTTAATGCGTCAAGTAATTCTTATTTAATAATTCGGATTTTTTTTTTTAAATTCATAAAATGTGTATTCTTTTCTTCTGTTGATAATGCTTACCGATTTACGATAAATATTGATAGTTTTAGAAATCTTTCTAAGAAAGGCGCGAAAACCACCCAATTGCAGCCCATAAATAACTTTTACCTTTTCGTCTATAAAAAGTCTCCGGATTGTGCCGAAATGGTTGCATTAATACGTAAGTACGATTTTAGGGTTGAATATATTTATAAACCTGCAAAAATGCGATGGACAGAATTGGAAATTTTGACATTAGAAGAAAATGGCATTTCATTGCCATTTGCTGTTAAGGTATAAGTATTGCTCAAAATAATTGAAAATAGAA